CCCACCCCCTTGACCTGTCCGTCCTCCCTGGACTGACCTATCCCCCTCCTTAACTCCCCACCTACACTCACCTTTACTGGCTCCATCCCCGCCTCTTCAACCTGTTTGTTTCCTCTCCACCTATCCTCTCCTCTGTCCATCTTCTATCCGCCTCCCACTCTCTCCCTATTTATTTCAGAACCCCCTTCCCCTCCCCCATTTCTGATGAAGGGTCTAGGCCCAAAACATCAGCCTTTCTGCTCGGCCTGCTGGGTTCATCCAGCTCTGCACCTTGTTGTCTCCTACTAAAACAAACTCTGTTTCAACTGGCATTCTTGATAAACCAGCAGTTATACATCTCTATACCTATTATTGTATTATCACTACCTCCACAATGTCAGAGTAGTCAGTTAAGATTGTGAGCGAGATGCCTCTCTACTGGTAAGTTTTATTTGAGGGAAAGTTGCAATATTGTTTAAGTGAATTATGTTGTAAATAAAGTATGACAGTGATGTGCATACCTCCTTTAGTATGTTTCTATTACTTAGTGTGTGTTTTGCCATCAATTATGTGGACCGCTTGATCAACAGCATGGCGGCTCAGTGGTGAGCACTGCTGCCACACAGCACCAGGGACCCAAGTCGCCCGAGGCAGGAATCGAACCATCTGTGTGAAGTTTGCACATTCTCCCTGTGTCGGTGTGGGTTTTCTCAGGGTGCTCCAGTTTCCTCCCACAGTTGAAACATGTGCAGGTTAGGTGGATTGGCCATACTAAATTGCCCTTAGTGCCCAGGGACATGCTGGCTAGGGGGATTAGCCATGAGAAATGCAGGGTTACAGGGTGGGGGGTGGGTCTGTGTGGGAGACTGGTGGGCCAAATGGCCTGCTTCTACACAGCAGGGATTCAATGAACCAGAATATTTGATCAACCAGTACACATCTGGTCCCGTAGGTACCTGTTAATAAAACATTTGCTTAATTTCAAAGCAATCAAGTGTCGATAACTTAGCTCGTTCCATATAGAAGACGGTGTAAAGCGTTCATATCTTAATGTACCTGACACAATCATGCAACAAGTCTTGACAGATGATACAGGTGAGTGTTTCCTCCATTTTATCTGGCTGCTTTCCTTCGGGGGTCACTTGATCCTCATTTGTAATGTTTGAACTTTGACCCTCATTGAGTAGCAATGGATCTGGAACTCTGCAAGTCTCTATCAAAATATATCATATTGAAAGAAAAGTGTTTTATAGCAGATAAAAACTTAAAATCGCACAAACAAAAACAGAAACTAATCTTTGAACTTAAAAAGTAAGTAAATGCTGGAAATGAATAATAGATATATTGCCATAGGAATAGTAAAAGGTCCAGCACAGGCACTATCAACCAAAAGGCCTTCTGCTGTGTATGATTCTATATTAGTGCACAAACTACGGGGTGCACAAAAATTGAAAAATGATTAGAACTGAAACTGGTGCACCCATCATGTCTTTCTTCCAAGACTTTAATGTAGGACAATTCCTTATCCACCCCCTCTTCGGGTAGGCTGTGCTGCTCTGGACACAGGTACCACAATTTTCATTAATATCCATGATATGTGGCATATTAGGAAAGTAACTGGAAGTTGAAACGCTGTCTAAAATTTCCTTTTTTGCTCAGACAAAGGCCTGGATAGATCTATGGAATGGGGAAAAGCTGTCTTAAAGACTGTTTGGGGTCACGTCGTGTCATGTGGCTATATTAGTCAACTCAGGAAATAAAATCCAAATCCTAACAATCAAAGTTGCAAAATAAATACTTGCCCATTTTGTGTTTCTTTTTGGTTGGTTCCAGGTCTTCTTCTTTTTCCAAAGCACCTGGATCAGATGACTTTGGGGCTTCAGGTCCTGATGTGCTTTCCATATTCACTTGAATCCTTGAAGGTGATAAAGCAGGATTAGGCAGCTTTGAACATGAAGTCCAAAACGTTGGTAAACAATTAGGTCCATGTGCAAACATTGAAGATCTAGCAGTAGTGGGCACAGGTCCTGTTGAGGAAGTGCATGGCTCCACAATGGAAGCAATAGGCTGATCAGTGTCGGAGTTTGCTCCAGAGGTACAGAATGGATCGTAGTAAGATGTGCATGGCTGTGGTTCCTCTCGGGAAGGGTGTTCAACTTGTTTTGAACAAAGTGGGGGAATGACTGCTGCTTGGTCGTTGTTGCTGCCCAAGCTTGAGGTTTCTTTAATAACCTGCTCAACCATACTGCAAGAGGATCCTGTACACAAAAATTATTTGTAAGTACATGGTAATCCATTTTCAGACTGACATTAAGTCAATTCATCCCTCATTAAAAAGCCTTCTCGTTTATGGAGTACTAACTACATGTAACTTTACAAACTGTGAAGATATATAAACAAAATAGAGGAGAAATCCCAGAATGTTACAGCACAGAAAGCAGCCATCACCTCTGTACTTGCCCTCTGAAAGAGTTGATCAACAGACTAACTCAGCCAATTTCCCGTACTTTTAATTTCTCAATTTTTCAAATATTTATCCACTTTCCCTCGATTCTGATCAACGACGTGCCAACTTTCTTGACAGGTTTCTGCAACCTTTTAGGAAAATAAAATTCCATGCCTTTTCCATAACAGATCTATACAGAAATTTTTTTAAAAATAGGTCTCATGCAAAAGGATCTGAGAAAATGGGTCTTGACTATAGACCTGCAACAATATTTTAGATGCCTTCTTCTCCATCAGGTGCTTGATCCTGTTCCAGCTTACCTGTTTACTGAGCTCAGGCTCTGAAGAAAGCCTACACTGAGACCTCAGCCTCTACAAGAACAAAAACCTGCAGCCTGACACTCATCAAAAATGGCACTCCTTAAGTAAGGCAAAAGAAAAAAAGAGAAAGAGGGGGACGGAGAGATCCAGCACATACTACTCAGCCACTTACTGCTGTTGGAGAGTAGTGTCCAAAGCAGCTAATCTGATGGGAAAATTTGCAGAAAGGGAAGAAAACCTAAAACTGACCTGGATTTCTGGCATATGAGGCAAAGTAATCAATTGGTGCCTCTGTGCGCCTCAGTCTCTGTGCACGGATGCTGGTGGACCACAGAAAAGCTTTGGAATTCTGTCTGAAGTCCAAAATGCCCCTCCCTGTCTTTACAAATTTCCATGATTTTTCAATTACTTGAACTTTTTTGAAATTTCCATTACTTGTCAAGTTTTCCATGACCCTTGAACCTTGTTGGGGCTTAAGTAGTCACAAATCTGTGTTATTTGGTGAACATTTTATGTATATGCCTTTCAGTTGCCAAGTGAAATAGACTTTTCCAATTTACTTCTAACAAACTCAATTCTAAACATTTAACTGACTTGTAATGTAAATACCTCCAGTTTCTCAAGTTGAGCTAATGTTAAGCAACACTGCAATATATCTTGTAACCCTTACAGCATAGTAACAGACCATTTGACCAAACTATTCTATGCTGGTGTTTGTTCTCCATATGAGCCTTCTCCGACCCTATTTCATTCATATGAAGGAAAATGTTTAATTCCATAATAGGTTATTACAACTAAAGAAAATTCACATCTCTTATCCTATTTCCATTAAAATCTAAAACAATTCTTAATTACCCGTTGATTCTTCCATGTTTTCCTCTTCGGAGTTCAGTGCTTTGTACAAATAGGCAACATCTAGAAAGTAAATTAAGAGAGAAGGAGATGGAAAAGGCTAGTTTTTTTTTTTGCTTAAGATTAACACACCACCCCTAGCCAAAAGATACAGTGCAAGAACATTGAACTGTAAAACATCCTTTGAGTTGACTGGTGGCTCTTTGATGGTGCAGGGCCACTGAATGGATAGGTATTCAAATACTTCATTTACAATAACTTTCTACAAGAAAGTATATGGCATATGCACTGCAAGTGTCAAAGCCAAACTCAGCTACAAATCTTCCCTGAAATTTTGGCTCACATAAAGGAGCTATTTGAACCCAACATTGACTGGCATCTTAGAAGAAAATGTAATGTTTTGGGCTGCTTACCCAACACAATTAAATTTTACAAATACAAATCAGTCTTTCCTCAATGGCCACAAACTAATAATGCTTAGCAATCAGTGTCACTGTCAATAGTAAGATGTATTTCTTGTAATTTACAAGAAGATTAGCTAAACTATGCAGTTAGGGAAGGGCCAAAAAGTGAACATGTTCCAATATTGATTTTCTCAGGGGCCTCAGGAAATGCCAGCAGAGTTAAACAGACTTTTTGCATCAGTCACTACCTTTGAAGATACTTTGAACATCTCAATGCCAAATAATTTTGGGAAGGGATTAAGTACCATAACTAGAGAAGCAGTATTAGGCAAACTAATGGGGCTGAAAGCAGATAAAGTCTCCTGGCCCTGATGGCTTGCATTCTAGGAACATAAAAGAGGTAGCTACAGAAATAGTGGGTGCATTGAATGTAGTTTTCCAAAAAAATTCTTCGATTCTGGAGAAGTACCAGAGGATTGGAAAACTGCAAAATGTGACATCCCCATTCAAAAAGGGAATGGGGTGGGTGGGAACAAACAGGATGACTGGCCTAGCATCGATCATTGGAAAAATATTGGAATAATTAAGGAGGGATTAGCAGAACATTGAGAAAATCATAATCTAATCAAGCAGAGTCAGCATGGCTTCATGAAAGAGAAATATGATCTGACTTATTTATCAGAGTTTTGCAAGGAAATCTCAACCAGAATGGATAGAGGGGCAACCAGATGTGTTGTATTCAGACACCCAGGTGTTTGACAAGGTACTTCACAAAAGGTCAAATCAAAAGACAAAAGACCCCAGTGCTTTTTTTTCAGGTTGGCAACCTCTAACTAGGAGGGTATTCCATGGGGTTCACTGTTTGGACTGCCACTATTTACAATATATATTAATGACTTGGAGAAAGCAGTGAATGTACTACAGCCAAATTTGTGGATGACAAAAACAGATGGAAAGGCAGGATGCGAGAGGAATACAAGCAATTTACAGAGATATTGATAGGTTAAATAAATGGGCAAAATGTTGGTAAGTGAAGTATAATGTGGAAAAATGTGAAGCTGTTTATTTTGGATAAAAACAATAGAACAGGATTATTTAAAAATGGAGAAAAACTGCAGAAAGCTTTGACAGAAAGGGACTTAGGGAAACTTGTGCATGTAGCACAGAAAGCTAGTCCACAGGTGCAGCAGGTAATCAGGAAGGCTAATAGCAGTTAGGCATTTAGGACGGCAAATGAACGTTAGCATTCATTTTGGAGAGAGCTAGAATACAAGAGCAGATATGTACTGCTGAGGCTGTATAAGGCTCTGGTCAGATTACAATCAGAATTTAGTGGGCAGTTTTGGGCCCGTATTCAAGGAGCGATGTCTTGGCCTTAGAGGGAGTCCAGAGGAGGTTTACAAAAATGATCCTGGGGATGAAAGGCTCATCATGCGAGGAGTGAAGACTCTAGAGCTGTACTTGATGGAACTTAGAAGGATGAGGAGGGGATCTGACCGAAATTTACAGAATTCTGAGGGCCTGGATAGAGTGGACATAGAGATGATGTTTACGCTCATAGCACAGGCTAGAATCTGAGGGCACAGCTTCAGAGCGAGGGATGACTTTTTAGGAACAAAAACAGAAATTGCTGGAAAAGCTCAGCAGGTCTGGCAGTATCTGTGGAGAGAAGTCAAAGTTAACTTTTCACGTCAAATGACTCTGCCTAGAACTTTTTAGCATTGACGGGAGGAGGAATTTCTTCAGAGGATGGTTAATCAGTGGAACTCATTGCCTCAGAGGGCTATGGAGACAAATCATTGAAGGTATTTAAAACAGTGACAAATAGATTCTTGATTGGTAAGAGGATCAAGGATTACAAGGGGAAACAGGATAATGGGATTGACAAACATATCAGCCATGACTGCATGGCAGAGCAGACTCAATAGGTCAAATGGCCTAATTATGCTCCTATATCTTATGGTCTATAGTCTTACTTCAATCCCTTGAAATAAGGGCCAGAATTGTATCAAGGAAAGGAAAGTCTTACTGCAAACATACAAGATGCTGGTCAGACAGTTTTAGTCCCCTGATTTCAAGAAGAGATTTTATTTCATTGGAGGCAGTTCGGAGAAGGTTCACTAGGATGACCCCTGATCTGGAGGGATTGTCTTATGAACAAAGATTAAGGAGTTTGGGGCTCTACTCATTGGAATTTAGAAGAATGAGAGTGGCCTCATTGAAACGTATAGGATTATTAAAGGGCTTGACAGGATCAGAAGACAGTCTCGGAACAAAAGGGTTGCCAATTTAAGACTGTGACGGGCAGATTCTCTCAAAAGGTTGAGTCTTTGGATCTCTTTGCTACAGACAGCTGTAGTGACAGAGTTCTTGTGTATATTTAAACAGATGGATAGATTCTTGATCCATAGGGGATTCAAGGGTTATGGGGAAAGGGCAGGAAAACAGGCATGAGGATTGTTGGATCAGCCCATGTTCTTACGGAATACTACAACAGGCTCAGGGGGCCAAATGGCCTACTCCCGTTTACTTTTCTTATGGTTTTAAAATGTAGCACAAAAAGTCACAAACTAAATTCAAACTTCGTCAAAGAGGTTGGTTTGAATAAGTTTAAAGGATAAAAGCAAGGAAGATAATTGTTAAATTTTAAAGAGGAAATTCCAGGGTTTAGGGCACAGGTAACTAAAAAAAGCACGGTCACCAGTGGTGAAGTAAATAAAATTGGAATGTACAGAGGACAGAATTTGCAGAATTCCGATAGCTCAAATAATTGTGGAGTTGTTGATGATTAGAGACTGGGAAGGATGAAGTCAGGGAAGGATTTGTAAGCAAGGCTGAGAATACTAAAATCAAGACTTTGCTTGACCAAGAGTCAGGGTTAGGTAGTGCTCCGTCAAAGCTGCAGAAGTTCCAATGTCCACGCATACTGATTGGCATCAGCCTGTGATCTCAGCACTGACTTCTGGTTCTAGATGTCACGCAGCTGGGAAGAAAATTAGAGGGAACACTGGTGACTGGTCAGAGGGACTTGGCGAGAGTTAGGGCATGGGAAACAGTGTTTTGGATGACTTCCAAGTTTAAACGAACAGAATTTAGTAGACTGGCCAGGATTGCAATGGAATAGTCATGTCTCAAGGAATAAAAAGCTTGATTCAGGGTTTCAGCAGCAGATGAGTGAGACCAAGTGGGCTAATGTTAGAGGTAAAAATAAGTGAGCTTAGTGAAGGCGTATGAATATAGTCAGTAGCTCATCTCAGAGTCAAATATGCCACTAATGTTGCAAACTGTCTGATTTTGTCTCAGGGACAGGTGTGAAAATCAGAAGGGGGCTTGAAGCAGGGATCAAAAAACAAAGGTATCAGTTTTCCAATATGGGAAGTTTAATTTTAACAGGAAAATTTTGCTAATTCAGTACCAGCTATCAAATAAGCTGTCTGATATCTTAGCAACAAATCTTACTTAGCAGAGTATAATAACAAACCAAAAGTAACAGCCAATTACGAAGCAGGTTTCTGACTGAGGCTGCTTCACAGGCTGCAACCCAATCACATTTAAACAAACTGGAAATGGGATAATTCAAACTATGGGCAATACATCTAATATTATCCTTACTCTGATCTGGCTCATTCTTTCTGTAGACAACGTAAATGGCATCGCCATTTTGCAACGGATAGGTCTGTTTCTTCACTACTTTAGATTTGTTGATGACCGTTCCATTGGTGCTGAAAACAAGAACACAAGTTAGGTTGTCTTCAGCCTTCTTGGTAAAGTAGTCATAATCAAACCTACACTCACATCAGATTATCAAAGCCCATGGCTTTCACCATCATTTGGAAATTGTGCCAAGCTCAACTTTAAAACACTTCATTTCTTTTAAATGTTACAATGAATAAGTTCACATTCTGGTGATTTTCTCCCCACCAATTCTAATAGCCTAAGTCAAACACAAAGTATAACAAGGTGTCACTATTGTTAGCTTGTGTTCAGCACCAATGTGCTTGTTAGGCCACAACAGTGGTGCTCGCACCTAACCTGCATAGGACAGTGATGTGGTTTCACAGCCAAAAACCTCCAAGCTCAGGAAGATATAAGCACCTCAGAAATGCTGCACTGTGTGACTAGAGAATAAGTGCAACTTTCAATTAGGAATATTAGGGTTTAGGAATATACCATTTGACCCTTCTAGCCTGTCCCCCATCCAATGGGATCACAGTTAATCTGGTTGTGGTGTCAGCTCCGCTTTCCAGTCTCCCTACTACATTAACTTCAACTCCCTTGTCTATCCAGAATCAGAATAGCTCTACTTTGAGAAAACTTAATGCCCCAGCCTCCGTTGATTACTGGGGAAGAGAATTCTACAAATTAACAACACTCAAAGAAGAAATTTCATTTCCGTTTAAGAATGAAAGGTCTCACTCTTAAGGCAGCGCACCCTTGTTCCTGTCTCCCCCACAAGAGGAAATATCTTCGAGTCTCCACACCATGAAGTCCCGAAAACCTTCTATGCTTCAAATGGGTCACCTCTCATTTTCCCAGACTCCAGTGGGTATAGGTCCCCTTATCTTCCTAAGGTAAACTGTTCAGGAATAGGTCCAGCAAATCTTCTCTGAACTGCCTCTAAAGTAATTATTACCTTTTTTGAAAATGAACTGGATACAGCACTGCAGATATGGTTTAACCAAAGCTGCAGTAAAATTTCCCTACTTTTATATTCTATTACCCTTGTCACAAATACCATTTGCCTTCCTAATCACTTGCTGGACCAACATACTAACATTTCATAATTCACACAAAGGGACACACAGAGAACTCTTTACCTTAGATTTGCAATCTCTCTCCATTCAAATAGCATATTGCATTCTATTGTACTTACCCGAAAGTGGATATTAACTACCTACATTATAACCCAAATGTCAAACTTTTGCTCACTTCAACCTGTCTATATCCCTTTGCATGCTCCTTGCACATTGGATGACTTACTTTCCTACTTTGTAATTTAATTTTGTGGGACGTGGGCATCGCTGAGCATCTTTTGCCCATGAGAAGGTGGTGGTGAGCTGCTTTCTTGAACCGGTGCAGTCCACCTGCTGTGGGTTGACCCACAATGCCATTATGGAGGGAATTCCAGGATTTTGACACAGTGACAGTGAAGGAACTGCAATATATTTCCAAATAAAGATGGAATGTGACTTGGAAGAGGAACTTTCAGGTGGCAGTATTCCCATACATCTGCTGCGTTTGTGGGTTTGGAAGGTGCTGTGTGAGGATCTTTCGTGAATTTATGCAGGGCATTGTGTAGGTAGTACACACTGCTGCTACTGAGCATCGATGGTGGGTTAGGTGCATGCAGCGCCAATCAAGTGGGCTGCTTTGTCCTGAATGGTGTTGAGCTTCTTGAGTGTTGTTGGGGCTGCACTCATTCAGGCAAGTGGGGAGTATTCCATTATACTCCAGACTTGTGCCTTGTAAATGGTGGACAGGCTCTGGGGAATCAGGTGGTGAGTTACTTGCCACAGTATTCCTAGCTTCTGCCCTGCCCTTGTAGCCACTGCATTTATGTGGTGAGTCCAGTTGAGTTTCTGATCAATGAT